CAGCGTCTCTGTTGTGACCTGCAGTGTGGCGTTATTTTATGTTTTTAATTTGTAGACTTAGTTTACAAACATTCTGCCAACCATGGATTTCCAGTGGTTGGTTTTGGACTGACCTTGTTGATCGTGTACATACCCGCTACGAACGGACTAAATAATGAAAACGCTGCTGGAAGCGGAATCCCAATACAGCTGGGAGACTTGGCTGGATGACAGAGTCCCGGACAGAGAAGTGGAGCCGGCCACCTTCACCCTGGTCAGAGCGGACCGCGATCCTGGTAAGAGAGCGACTCTGTACCCCGACATTGAACTGCTTTCTGTGTCATTGCGACCTTACTATCAATTCAATTCAATTTAAGGGCTTTATTGGCATGGGAAACGTGTGTTAACATTGCCAAAGCAAGGGAAGTAGATAGTAAACAAAAGTGAAATAAACAATAAATATTAACAGTAAACATTACACTCAGAAGTTTCAAAAGAATAAAGACATTTCAAATTTCATATTATGTATATATACAGTGTTGTTACAATGTGCAAATAGTTAAAGTACAAATGGGAAAATAAATAAACATAAATATGGGTTGTATTTACAATGGTGTTTGTTCTTCACTGGTTGCCCTTTTCTTGTGGCAACAGGTCACAAATCTTGCAGCTGTGATGGCACACTGTGGTTTTTCACCTAGTAGATAAGGGAGTTTATCAAAATTGGGTTTGTTTTCGAATTCTTTGTGGATCGCTGTAATCTGAGGGAAATATGTGTCTCTAATATGGTCATACATTTGGCAGGAGGTTAGGAAGTGCAGCTCAGTTTCCACCTCATTTTGTGGGCAGTGTGCACATAGCCTGTCTTCTCTTGAGAGCCAGGTCTGCCTACGGCGGCCTTTCTCAATAGCAAGGCTATGGTCACTGAGTCTGTACATAGTCAAAGCTTTCCTTAAGTTTGGGTCAGTCACAGTGGTCAGGTATTCTGCCACTGTGTACTCTCTGTTTAGGGCCAAATAGCATTCTAGTTTGCTCTGTTTTTTTGTTTGTTCTTTCCAATGTGTCAAGTAATTCTCTTTTTGTTTTCTCATGATTTGGTTGGGTCTAATTGTGTTGTTGTTGTTGTTGTTGTTGTTGTTGTCCTGGGGCTGTGTGGGGTCTGTTTGTGTTTGTGAACAGAGGCCCAGGACAAGCTTACTTAGGGGACTCTTCTCCAAGTTCATCTCTCTGTAGGTGATGGCTTTGTTATGGAAGGTTTGGGAATCGCTTCCTTTTAAGTGGTTACTATCTGCCCCGTGAGTTCCCCCAATTGTTTGTTACCGTTGTGTACTGTTGATAATCACAAGTTTACTGGAGAACTGAGACCAAGTAGAGACTTTGGACAGGGTGGATATGGTATAATAAAGGCAGTTTATTCAGAGGTAAAGATATCTGGAATCGCGTGCACGGACTCGTTCGTGCACGCGAGTAAAGTAAAAGTGTCCTGTCTTAGGTCAGCTAGGATCACCACTCCTTGGCCACCTGCTGACAAGGCTGACAAGATAGGACTCTTTTGTCCATTGTTATAGGATAGGAACAGCATTGATTGAAAACAAACGCCCAACACAAAATGGGTCATGCACAAGATTTTAGTCAGACCAAGCTATAACATTATAAATTTACTACGACAGTACATTCAACCAAAAGCTAATATAACAAAGGCATCAGAGATTATTTATAATCTGTCACAGAAACTGGAATCCATCTCCCCAGATCAGTCAATAAATGCTTCTGGTATTGACTTATATGCTGCCCCTGTCTTCATGTTGTTGCTGGACATATCTTTTTTAAAATGTGTGTAGGTCACCTAAATCATCAGAAAAATTGCCCCTCCTGAGAATTTTTTCAGGAGCCGCCACTGATGCCAATGTAACATAATACAGTAAGCATAACATAATTGACTTTTGTTTCCTATTCTAGGGGCATAGTGGGAATGAATACACACGTATCATCAGCATAGCCTCTTGTTTCTTCTCAGCTTTCCTATTAGCGGAATGTCAATCACCAATTTACCTTATAGCCTATTAGCACAGCGCAATAATGCACATTCCTCAAGCTTGCCGTTTAACCTACACTCTTAGAAAAAAAGGTGCTTTCTAGAACCTTAAAGGGTTCTTCAGCTGTCCCCATTGGATAACCATTTGAAGAACCCTTTTGGGTTCTATGTAGAACCGTTCCCACAGAGGGTTCTACCTGGAACCCAAAAGGGTTATCCTATGGGGACAGCCTTAGAACCCTTTTTTCTAAGTTGTCTTCGACAACTACCCACCACCACCAGCCTGTACTCGATTGAACCGTAATTACTGCATTATTTTCCAACAAGGTTTTCCATTAGGGTTCATATGACAGTTTGTGTGTGTGAGAGAAACAGAGCGCGAAAGAGGCGAAACCATTATAAAGGTTATCGTTGCCATGCATACCAAATATTTACAGCCTTCCTCATTCTCTCTCTACATTCGGACTCCATTCCTACGCGTTACCAATTTACTGTCTTTGTTGGTCTCCCCTCTCGCTTCTCAATGTTTCTTTATGTCTATCATTACTTATTAATAGATACACAAATTAGACCTAAAATAACTCTGAAAAATAAATGACTGATAACATGTATTTTATATGCATGTCCACCACTGCCATTCGTAATGTGCAGCGAACTGCTTTCATTTAGAAATTAGAAATTACCGTTTGTGGGTAGCCTGACATATACTTTAAAAACTAAAACAAGCCCTTTCCACCACCAAAATAAATTCAGTGCTGCTCAACCCTATGTCAGAATCTTAAGATCTTTGTTTTGACAGCTCGGATACTTGCATTATTCATATAGTTGGTGTGTTTGTGGCTTCTGTTTTTGCATGAGCGCAGAGAGCTGACATTAGAGATGAGTAATTAATAGACTTGGCTTCAGGCTTCCCCGGGGGAATCCACAGAGTAACGTCTTCATTTCTAAATCAGAGGGATGAAAGAGACCATTTCCAGGAAACAAGCACACCTCCGTTGTAAACACAGACTTATTGAACTATGTTTAATGCTGGCACACAGATCATTGTATGGCACAGTGGCAAGACAAATCCCATCAAAACAGGTCACGCAATAGGAAAGCTGCAAGTATCGCACAGACCTTGAGGCATTATATTATATCAGTATATATAGCTTTATAAAATGTAGTTCAAACATAGGAAATATATTATTTTAAGAACGAGTCATTAAATTCAGAGATGGGATTGACTCAGTATTCAATGGTAGCAAGACATGAGCCAGTAATCTCTAATATCTATCAGCCTGTTGGGGTATTTATCAAATTTCTTCTTAAATAAAAACAAGCAGGGAATTTATGATGGTAGTTAAGCTTTATTAATAACTTCCCTGGTGACTAATTACGAGTCTGGGATTCAAGGGCTGTTTGAAAGCCTGAAATAGAGCAGAGAAACAACATCTCCATATCTGTGGGTGATATTGTTAATTAAGAGTCATGCATTTGTTTAAAAAACATTTTTTTAGGCAATTGCACAAAGTGGAATATTTACAATGCCAAAGTCACATAGGCATACGTTTACAAAGTCTGACAGAAGTCCTATATCTCTATATTCTAACATATCCCATGGCAAAGTTCTGTGTATCAAAGCCATGCTCCAATCGGACCAATTTTGTCTGATTAACACTCCCAACACTCCCACTCCTCTCATTAGACCACAAACATGATCGTACTAATGGACAAATCTCAGCTCTCTGCACCAAGGCACCATTTTTCTTCTCTAAAGAAGCCTGGGCTTCATTTAATTAACAACAAGACTTAACACTGAGGTATTAGGCTACTGGATTGATATTAAAATCATGAAGAATACTGATGCCAGTTAGGTACTTGACCTCATTCTGTGGGAACTTCAGTGTCTTCCTCCTCCTACAGTGTTCTGTCATGCTGGGAGCATACACTAGCCCAGGGTGAACCCCCTCGTCACAGCAAGCTCACCAAACATCACAAATTAAAGGGGATTACGACAGAGCAAAAAACTGAGGGGAGAGGACCAGCTATCATTAGCTTTGTTACTGGGAGAGAGCCTGAGCCACACCTGTATAAACTAATTATGTTGCTGAAATGTCCTGCAAAAGTGGCTGCACTGTTTACTTGTGGGAGGAGGGCAAAGTGAGCGTAGCTGATGGAGAGGAGCCAGAGATGAGCGATGTCAGATACATTAGGACTGAATGGGAGGAGGGCAGGGACACTGTATCAAACATTTATGGCAGACTGCCACACAGGCATATTTCTAATAGCAAGGAAGCACACTCATGATGAGGTATGATTATCTCGGGGGTTAACTCCCTCCTTAAAAAAATATAACATTTGAAACATAGCCATTTAAAACATGCACTTTACAACCCATCTACATCTCAGTGAGCAAAAAGGGCTCCCAGTCTCTTCTGTCTAGTCATTCAGCCTCCTACATTTCCTCTGCCCCCAGTCCTGGCTGCACATCAAACCATCACATGGCCATGTTCAGCACCCACAGGTAGACTACCCTGGCGCATTCGGAGCAATCAATCAACGCCTGGAAACACCCCCTCACTTCTCCTCTAAACGAGCATATGCCTGCTCTGAGGCCCATCATCCATCAGTGCAGTAATGCTATAGAATAGTACACTACTCAGTATCGAAACTGTGAGGCTGTGCAAACGCATGAATTGCAGGCTTTAGAAGAGATGACGTGTAACTGTTTGAGTAACTATTGACTTGGAATGTCAACATTATTAACAGTGCGGCATGAGAATGAATGGACACACACACGAGTTGTCCTCATATCTATCAATTTGTATCCATTAGGGGATTACGCTATTGGCAACCAATCGATGTGCACCATCTGGTTTGGTAGTTTAGGGTCGTTCCTGTCCGTTTACATTAGAGTGGGCCTTATCAATCAACTGCCTTTTACACCCCTGCAACTCATTTTTCACGCTTTAGAATAGCGCAATTGAACAGAGCCGCACACCAAGTCTTAGATGCACCATTGCACACAAGCTCTATTATCAAAACATTAAAATGACAAAGAGCGAGGCAACTCTGTTATGCTCTTTTAATTTCTTTCAAAGTTCTGTCACATTGAAAAGAACATGAGGTTACACAGAATTAGTATTTGCATATTTTAAAACTGATATGAGACATGAGAAGGATGGAAGGATGAGATAAATGCCACAAATCCCCAGCAAGGTTCTAGAATACAAATTACATTACTATTCAACATATCGGTAGTAATGTTAACGCTTACAATACATCTACGTATAAAGCTCACTAACATTTCTTCCCCCTATGTATAAGTCTCCTATTTGCCTTAGATAACTGTGCGTACTGTACGCAAAAATTATATGTAGCTCGTAAGATAACAGGCTCAATTGTTGCATTCTTTAATTGTTTTATTACTGGGCTTAGGTCCTATGTTTCACATACAAGAGTTATGAGAGTAAGAAACATCTGATTACAAAGGCTTAATACAACTGTTTATGTTAAACAATTCTAAGACAGTAGCTCAAGAGATGATGTGTATTTCATAGATTACAGATGCTACTTACTCATGACAAGGCTATGAGTTTTTATGTAAAAAACAAAATCAATGACATTTCCCTTTGCACTGCAAATACTGCATTCAATTACAATGCCTAGTGTGCTCATGATCATCAACACACCCCAGATGTAAACCAGATGTAAACAGTCACAAAGTGGTTACCATGACAGCTGACAAATTGAGACTCTATAAACATTTAACATCACCCACTAGCACTCAGACATTGGCCAGCATGTACTGCAAGGACACCATATACAGCAGTAACATTCAAATATAGCCTACCTAGGTTATCCGGGTCAAGTTCTATGGGGTCTAACAAGTCAAGTTTACAAATATATGGGGAAACTAAGCAAAACAACAAAAAGCTGGGGGCAAGAAAGATGCACAGTAAACATATGTATTCTACAAACTAAAGCCCCTTAGTAATCTATTACCACAGATTGACCACATTAAACTGCCCCCTACAATCTGTAAATCTCACCAGTGTCCAGTCAGTCCCAATGAGTACCAGAATAACTAAAAATGCCCAGTTAAGTATGATTCATTTCTACTTTAAAAAGTCACAACAAGTTGCCAAAATATCAAGCGTGTATCAGAATATCAAGTATATTCACATTCATGTACAAAGCAAGGCAGTTGGTCGAACAAATTATGGTATTTTAGGTTCTGTGTCCAAAAGAAGAGTTTTGGTCAATTGAGTCACTTGTGCTTCAAAAAGACATAGGCTATGCACTTTCAGATGCAAAGGAAATCTACAGTAAAAGCTCAATTCATTTTTAAAACGGGTTGGGAAAAATGAGTGAAAGTAATGCAGTGATGAGTGAACAGTGATGAGAGCAGATGCTTAGAACATCTTTACCCATTCAACATAGTGAGATGGAGGGAAGAGTGAGTGAGAGGACAATTAGGAAGCGAACACTTTTTATGCTTGAACACCTATATTATTACATTGATGTTAACTTTCATTTTTCTATTTAAACATTTTATCAGATGATGAAAATCATGGAGGGTGATGCTTATACAGGGATGGCCTAAAGTGTACTGTGCAATTTAAAACATGATTAGCCAAGATTAAGCGTTTATATTACACTAAATACCAGAATGTCAACGGCTTATCAATTGCTTTCTACTTATTTATTGCATCATTCATCTTCATATTGGCATAGCCTCAGCAATTTAACTCTTCAGGAAAGCATTAGACAATGACGTATATTGATTAACATTAATATATTAATATGAAAACTTCTAGATTTAATTCCCTTCCAAGTCATGATTAATGGTTAATGATTGTTCTTTTCAGTTTCTAAAGTGACAGTGGATTACCATACATATCACAAGAGCAATCACCACAGGAAGCTCTCCAATAAACAAAAAAATAAACGTTAGTTCATTAATAGATTACAATCAATCATACTATATATTTTTTCCAGAATTTCAAAAATAGATCCATTTCCCTCCCCGCCTCCCTCTCAACAGTTGGAATTGTACTTTAGCGCGTGCGACTGAAGGGGCTAAGGTTGTGCTCATATTAATGGTTCCTACTGGTGCCCTGTCCTGTTCTACTCAGTGATCTCCAGGATGAGGTCGTCTCCCTCCAGGCTGCTGTCGGCGTTGACGTAGATCTTGACCACTGTGCCAGAGAGGGGAGAGTTGACCACCGTCTCCATCTTCATGGCGCTGAGCACACACAGAGGCTGGCCCTTCTCCACCGTCTGGCCCTGCTTCACCTTCACCTCCACCACCTTCCCCGGCATGGGAGCCCCCACCTGGCCACGCACATCCTTCAGCGCCTTGGGGTGGAAGTGCATCTCCTGGATGGGGGGGCGGGTCAGAGAGAGTACACTTGGTGAGTTTGCAGGAACACCAATGTGTCTATTGAGATATATAATGGTGAGGTTAAACAACTTCTAAAACAGTGAGAATAGCTTTAATTTGTTATTATGCGTTGTAACTATGTACTGTACCTTCATGGCCACTGTATCCTTGACCAGGACAGATCTGAGCGCTCCATTCAGCTCAAAGAACACCTCCCTCTGGCCAGCCTTGTTGAGATCTCCCAGGGCCAGGGCTTTGATGTGGAGGGTCTTCCCTCGCTCCAACTCCACCTGACAGACACAGGGACACAGGAAGTGTGATCCGAGGAAAACAGAACATGTAAGCAAATATATTGTAATCAGTCAGTTCATGTCAAATGAATCACTTCTCATCCACTTGAAGAATATGAATGAACGCAAATGGTGAGACTGACCTCAAACTCCTCAGCGATCTTGGGTCCATCGAGGAACAGGCGTGTGTTGAGGCAGTCTACAGGGCCAAACTGATGGGTGAACTCCTTGAACTCCTGGAACACCTTGGGGTACATGGCTGCTGACATCACATCCTCAGGAGTGATGTCATCTCCGTGCGTCTCTCGCAGCTGTTTCTCTAGGGCCTGGAAGTCCATGGCGGGCAGAGAGGCACCCGGGCGGCCTTCCACACGTGGCATATTCTTCAGCACCTGCAGCAGAGGTTAGAAATCAGCCACTAACAGGCCAAAGGGAGCTAGGCAGGCTACAAGCAACGTTTGAACATCACAAGTAAACATGAGTGTAATAATGAATAAAGATAATGCTAGGCATCTGTTGGAAATGATGGCTGAAATAGCTGCTCCATAATGGCTGTACCATTCCTTTGTTATACATGATGTATGCTAAGCAGATGGCCTATTTATTTATGAACTGCAAAATAAATTACTCAAGTGCCACTGTGCGTCCAATGGAAAACAAAACAAGGGGAACTGCATTGTGCACTGGTGATGTGAGGCACAAATTTGTCCTAGAAAACAATTGATCTTCCAGAGAAATGCTTCTGGGTAACTGTGGTTTTCTTAGAGATGGGGAAAGAAATTATATTTATTCAAATTTCAAACAGAAACAATTGTGATCGAGCTCCAGGGACAGTGGAGACAAAAAAAATGCAAACTTCTCAAACAAACGAAGTATTTCTATGACTTAAGGGGATCTTGCACTGGGTTATTAAAACAGCCTTTTCTGTTCTATAAAAGAAATCGACTGAAATGTAAGTGGAGTACAAAAACCTTATCATCTGGAATACAAATCCTGCCATTATGGTTGGCTGTGAAAAGGCAGATATAAAATAGCTACATGTTTTCCATATACACTCCGTACCCCATTCCCAAGGGCAAGCTATTGATTACTGTAAGTGCAGCTGCCCAATGAGAGATAGATTGTGATGCACACACAGTTTTCATTTGAAAACATTAGCCCATCAGTGTGTTAAAAAGAACAATGTTGTTGGGTGCTGAAAAAAACTAGGGCATATTGGGAAATTGTGAAGTGGGTGTGGAGTGTGTGTGTGTTACCTTGGACCTGAAGGGCTCAGGGAAGCCTCCGTGTGGAATGCCAATATGACCCTGCAGGAACTCCACCACAGAGAGGGGGAAGGAGAGCTCATCAGCCCTCTCCTCCACCTCCGCCCTCGTCAGAGAGTTCTGCACCATGAACTGGGCCAGGTCGCCCACAATCTTCGAGGAGGGGGTCACCTGCAGGCAGGGAGACACAGAGTGGGCGGAGGAGACGTGGAGAGAGACGAGCAACAGATGTTATCCACAACATTACTGGTGCTACAGCCCATCTGTCATAGACCATTGTGTTTCACCCTAGTAACTTCCAGGCTGGTGTGCAAATTGGAAGTGAACAGTGGTAGTCAGGAGAGGAGAGAGGACAGAGAGAGGGAGGTGAACAGAAGTGTGGTAGTCAGGAGGAGAGAGCGAGCGAGAGAGAATGAGCGAAAGAGCGAGAGAGAATGAGAGAGTAAGTGCGAGAGAAGTGAACAGAAGTGTGGTAGTCAGGAGAGGAGAGAGAGCGAGCGAGCGAGCATGAGAGAAAGAGAGAGAGCGAGAGAAGTGAACAGAAGTGTGGTAGTCAAGAGAAGAGAGTGAGAGAAGTGAACAGAAGTGTGGTAGTCAAGAGAAGAGAGTGAGAGAAGTAAACAGAAGTGTGGTAGTCAACAGGGGGAAATTGTTTGAGAAAAATGATTTTTTTGCAGACAAGACAAGGAAAGAGGTAGCAGAGAGGAGAGAGAATAGAGAGGCATAATGAAAGCAAGGTAAGCGTGTCCGCTACTGAACAGACACTCAGACTGATTCACTGTGCCTGTGATATGGACAATATTAGAAGGAAACAAAGGAAATGGAGGAGGACAAGAACAGAAAGTCAACTATCGCTGATCATTTAATTAGCCCTAGGAAATGAAAACCAGCAAGGCGAGACTAAATGCTAGAAGATGCCATTGATTGGAGAGATCAGACAGAAGCGTGGAGAACATAACAGATAAGCTTGCTCAAAGCTCCTTGGTTAATCTGACGTTAGGCTGCGGCGAGATCAATGGCTCCCCTTTCTGCAAAGGTATTCCCATTTTGTTTTATTTAGTTTTTGGCACAGTACAGCCTCCCTCACACACATCATTGAGAGAGAGTCTAAAGAGGATGGTGAGTGAAGAAATTGAGTGGGCAATTAATTCAGAAGTTCAAAACGACTTTCCTCCTCAATCAGAAGAATCCTTTTAAAAATCTGCTTTCATAGAGAGAATTAAAAAGGCACAAAGACAATTTGTGAATTGCGGATTGTGAGTTTTATCACTTAAATTTGAATAGGTGGCCAGTCGTCTCACCTTGATGAGGTCACCCAGCAGCTTGTTGGCCTCTGTGTAGGACTTCTTCACCTCCTTGAACTTGTGCCCCAGGCCCATGCTGTGAGCCTGGAAATGCAGGTTGGTGTACTGGCCCCCAGGGATCTCGTTCTCATACACGTCAGCATTGCCAGACTTCATAGTGGCTGTACAGTCAAAGGGGGCATAGAGCCCGCGAGCAACCTCCCAGTACTCACTGTAGTCATACACATTCTCCAGGGATATGCCTGTCAAAGAGAGGGCAGGACAGAGAATAATGACACTGAGGTATCAGGGATACACTGAACAAAAATATAAAAACGCAACATGCAACAATTTCAAAGATTTGACAGAGTTACAGTTTATATAAGGAATTCATTCAATTGAAATAAATAAATGAGGCCCTAATCTATGGATTTCATATGACTGGGAATACAGATACACATTGGTTGGTCACAGATACCTTAAAAAAAACAAAACAAAAAACATTTGCCTCACGCATCGAGACATACAGTGGGGAAAAAAGTATTTAGTCAGCCACCAATTGTGCAAGTTCTCCCACTTAAAAAGATGAGAGAGGCCTGTTATTTTCATCATAGGTACACATCAACTATGACAGACAAAATGAGAAAACAAAATCCAGAAAATCACATTGTAGGATTTTTAATGAATTTATTTGCAAATTATGGTGGAAAATAAGTATTTGGTCAATAACAGAAGTTTCTCCATACTTTGTTATATACCCTTTGTTGGCAATGACACAGGTCAAACGTTTTCTGTAAGTCTTCACAAGGTTTTCACACACTGTTGCTGGTATTTTGGCCCATTCCTCCATGCAGATCTCCTCTAGAGCAGTGATGTTTTGGGGCTGTCGCTGGGCAACACAGACTTTCAACTCCCTCCAAAGATTGTCTATGGGGTTGAGATGTGGAGACTGACTAGGCTACTCCAGGACCTTGAAATGCTTCTTACGAAGCCACTCCTTCGTTGCCCGGGCGGTGTGTTTGGGATCATTGTCATGCTGAAAGACCCAGCCACGTTTCATCTTCAATGCCCTTGCTGATGGAAGGAGGTTTTCACTAAAAATCTCATGATACATGGCCCCATTCATTCTTTCCTTTACACGGATCAGTCGTCCTGGTCCCTTTGCAGAAAAACAGCCCCAAAGCATGATGTTTCCACCCCCATGCTTCACAGTAGGTATGGTGTTCTTTGGATGCAACTCAGCATTCTTTGTCCTCCAAACACGACGAGTTGAGTTTTTACCAAAAAGTTCTATTTTGGTTTCATCTGACCATATGACATTCTCCCAATCCTCTTCTGGATCATCCAAATGCACTCTAGCAAACTTCAGACGGGCCTGGACATGTACTGGCTTAAGCAGGGGGACACGTCTTGCACTGCAGGATTTGAGTCCCTGGCGGCGTAGTGTGTTACTGATGGTAGGCTTTGTTACTTTGGTCCCAGCTCTCTGCAGGTCATTCATTAGGTCCCCCGTGTGGTTCTGGGATTTTTGCTCACCGTTCTTGTGATCATTTTGACCCCACGGGGTGAGATCTTGCGTGGAGCCCCAGATCGAGGGAGATTATCAGTGGTCTTGTATGTCTTCCATTTCCTAATAATTGCTCCCACAGTTGATTTCTTCAAACCAAGCTGCTTACCTATTGCAGATTCAGTCTTCCCAGCCTGGTGCAGGTCTACAATTTTGTTTCTGGTGTCCTTTGACAGCTCTTTGGTCTTGGCCATGGTGGAGTTTGGAGTGTGACTGTTTGAGGTTGTGGACAGGTGTCTTTTATACTGATACCAAGTTCAAACAGGTGCCATTAATACAGGTAACGAGTGGAGGACAGAGGAGCCTCTTAAAGAAGAAGTTACAGGTCTGTGAGAGCCAGAAATCTTGCTTGTTTGTAGGTGACCAAATACTTATTTTCCACCATAATTTGCAAATAAATTCATAAAAAAATCCTAAAATGTGATTTTCTGGATTTTTCTCCTCAATTTGTCTGTCATAGTTGACGTGTACCTATGATGAAAATTACAGGCCTCTCTCATCTTTTTAAGTGGGAGAACATGCACAATTGGTGGCTGACTAAATACTTTTTTTCCCCACTGTATCCTTCGCATAGAGTTGATCAAGTGGTTGATTGTGGCCTGTGGAATTGTTGTCTCACTCCTCTTCAATGCCTGCACGAAGTTGCTGGATATTGGCAAACTGGAACGCGCTGTCATACACGTCCATCCAGAGCATCCCAAACATGCTCAATGGGTGACATGTCTGGTGAGTATGCAGGCCATGGAAGAACAGGGACATTTTCAGCTTCCAGGAATTGTGTACAGATTCTTGCGACATGGGGGGTGCATTATCATGCTGAAACATGAGGTGATGGCGGCAGATGAATGGCATGACAATTGTCCTCAGGATCTCGTCACGGTATCTCTGTGCATTCAAATTGCAAATCAATAAAATGCAATTGTGTTCGTTGTCCATAGCTTATGCCTGCCCATACCATAACCCCACTGCCACCATGGGGCACTCTGTTCACACCGTTGACATCCGCAAACCACTCGCCCACACGACGCCATACACGCTGTCTGGCCATCTGCCCGGATTCATCCATTAAGAGCACACTTCTCCAGCATACCAGTGGCCATCGAAGGTGAGCATCTGCCCACTGACGTCGGTTACGAAGCCGAACTGCAGTCAGGTAAAGACCCTGGTGAGGACGATGCACATGCAGATGAGCTTCCCTGAGACGGTTTTTGACAGTTTGGGCAGAAATTCTTTGGTTGTGTAAACCCACAGTTTCATCAGCTGTCCGGGTGGCTGTCTCAGACAATCCCGCAGGTGAAGAAGCCGGATGTGGAGATCCCGGTCTGGCGTGGTTACAGGTGGCCTGCGGTTGTGATGCCGGTTGGACGTACTGCCAAATTCTCTAAAACTATGTTGGAGACGGCTTATGGTAGAAAAATTAACATTAAATTATCTGGCAACAGCTCTGGTGGACATTCCAGCAGACAGCATGCCAATTGCACACTCCCTCAAAACATGGAGACATCTGTGGCATTGTGTTGTGTGACGAAACCACACATTTTAGAGTGGCCTTTTATTGTCCCCAGCACAAGGTGCACCTGTGAAATGATCATGCTGTTTAATCAGCTTCTTGATATGCCACACCTGTCAGGTGGATGGATTATCTTGGCAAAGGAGGAATGCTCACTAACTAACAGTGTTGTAAACAAATTTGTGCACAATTTGAGAGAAATCAGTTTTTTGTGCATATGGAACATTTCTGGGATATTTGATTTCAGCTCATTAAACATGGGAACACTTTACATGTTGCATTTATATTTTTGTTCAGTGTATATAGGCATCTACAGATGCAAATACAATGAAACATTCTTGTTAAACGTGTTGTGTTAATCTATTGCATGTGGGAGGCATGCCAGAGAATACATTAAAGTCTATCAGTGGGTGCCCGCCACTTACGCGTTCACTGGCTTCCAAAGCAAGAACATCAGTCAGTCAATCAATGCACCCTCTTTGCTGCCAATACACTGAACGCGCATTTAACCCCGATGACCTATCAAATTGCGGTAATTACAATTACCTCCATGCTTCAGCTGACAACACTCAAACAGACAACCCCCCCACCCCACCCACACACATTCTCCCTATCCATCTCAGAGACCACAGAATTTTAAGCTTGGATATTAGCATCAATCTGAAGCTTCCCACTCCTTCATCCATACACATCTGTTGGTACATAAACATCAGCAGAGAGGAGGAAAATGAAAAGAGAGAATAGCAAGGGAATGAGAAAGCGAGAGAGAGCATGACATTGACCACAGTTCCTGTCCCTCAGAGGACTAGAGCCGACTTAAAGATGATCTATAAGCATCACGGGAGAGAACATGATGCAGAGATCAAATATGGATGGAAAGATTAAAGGAGTGAAGACCTCAGAAGTCATTTAAGAGCAGAAGCATGTGAATGAGAAGATGGGATCATGGAAAAGAGAAAAGGTGAAAAAGAGTAAGATGAAATGAGGCACTTGAGGATTTTCAGCAAACAAGTACAAATAAGTACTACCAATAAATATGACCAATGTCAGCAGGACCAAGGCAGTTGTAGACCAGAGAGAGCTTAGACAAGTAAGAGAGGGTATGAGTGGGAAGAACTACGAATTAGAGCAGTCTTGTCATCCTGTCTCATGCATGAATGCCCAAATTGTAGCCTATTTGGAATGAATTTAGAAGTTATTTTACAATACATTTATAAAAATTGTATGGCACTAAAGCGCAACATTGCAAAGAGAGAAGGGAATTGTAACTTGATACCACATTTTCTTGGGCAAATGACATCCCCCTGACATTTCAATTACCTAGGCAGCCTTGTACTCAGTGAAAAGGAGCAGGAGGGGGAGACAGGTAGACTTAGAGAAATACACAAAATCAACAACGAAAATAACATGTCTTTTTCCCAGAATGTGAGCATTCTGATGGGATTCTAACTGCATTCATACACACACTCAAACAGGACATCTTATAGTTATGTTTTATGACCTTGAATAGTAATTACCTGAATGAGGGAATTTGGAGACCATAGATACACACGTTCTGAAATGGAACATTGGAACCAGCAAAACAAAGATGCTAAATTGCACCTCTAGGCTGTCTGCGCTTTCAACGACTCGCATCCAACAAAACAATGTCTGGGTTATATCATTTTGAAAACTACCCAATTTCACACCATTGATTGTCTTCTAATTCTGTCCTGCCATATTTCATTTTCTAAAGAGGACATTTAGATAACTGGATTAGAATGAGAAACAATGAACTAGCTGTTAACTGCTCATTGTGCTCAGGTAGCGTAATATTCCCCAATCGTACACCAGTACATGGTCAAGTCATTTCAGAGCAGCTACTACCTCCATGCTCCTCATGACTAATTCATTATATTCTCAAGTGTTGTTCAATTCAAAACAAACAAACAGCAACTCCCTTATTTTATTTTCAGCCACTTTATTTCAGTAATTAAGGGCTTACAAGCAGCTAATCAAAGCCTGATTAATTGAAGAAAAAAAAGTTATATGGCGAGATTAGATTAAATGCTCATCAGTTGTGAGAATATTTCAAAGGGTTTCCCATTTCATCTGCTGCTCTTTGTTCATTGAACCAATATGAATGAAAGAACAGCCTTTCACCTTGTCTGCCATCGTTGGTGTATCAAAGCACACGGTAACCGTCAGTCACGGCTGGTGGCAGGGTGATAACAGGCAACACTAGCCTGCAGCTGACGGATTCCCTCCTGAATAACACCTCAACACAAGGGCAATGATCTGGTCTCACCGCCGTTCCCCTAGCAACAACATGGCTGGCTGCAGCCAGGGGAACTTGGTTCTGACCACATTCCTGTTCCCACGCTGAGACAGACCTTCACGGAGCCTTGCAGGCCAAGGTTACTACATCGGGTTAAGACTTGCCTGCTGCTGTAATGTCTCAATTAACTGAAGGTCGCAGGGTTGTATGTGAGCTGTGAAATGACGGCTGTGTGCGGCGACCTTCCTTGTGCCCTTTCTTTCTGCCACTCTCTCCCTCTGCCTTTTCCCCTAGTTCTCTCTCTCCATTTCTCTCTTTCTATTTCTCTCTCTGCCCCTCTCTGCAACAATCATGCTTCATTTGGCCCTTTTTACATTACCGTCTGCACATGTACAGTATCGCCTCCCATGTGTACCATATTCTTTGGGTTATATCCATTAAGACAGTCGTTTGTTTTTTCTCAACCGCAGTGGGAATATGCACTAAGCGTCAGCATAATTAAATTGTCACTAGCTGTTGCAGTCGGTTCTACAAACACATTTTGAAGTGTTATTCAGAGCCATCTAGGCAGAGTAACCTCCGTCACAAACAGAAAATGGATCTTTAAAAACACTTGAGGATGTCATACATACGAATTAACTACCCATTTCTACAGCCATAAACAGCTTGAGTCAGTAGCTACATTTTCATGACTTATCATGACTGCATAATATTGTCTCTCTTCATTGGTTTTCCTTGCCATTGTTGAATGTAGCATGCTTTCGTGGGGGTAAAGGTCTCAGCCTTTTACCTTGTTAAATGCGACAACATACCAACAAAGAATGAAAAAGTGGTTCACTGCTCCCCCACTGTGTGTGTGTGTACACAACCGGTCAGCTTTTTATATTTGTTCTTGATTGGCTGGCAGCTCACTTTAGTTGTCCTCTATTGGCTGGCAGCTCACCTGTGTTGAGTTTGGTTCCCTTGGTGCAGGCGACAATAGCTCCCATGCTGGGCTGTGATGTCATCCCAGCCATGGAGTCCACAGCGACGTCTACGACGTCGGCCCCGGCCTCGGCACAAGCCAGCATGGCGGCCACGCCGGCGCCTGCCGTGTCGTGGGTGTGGACGTGGATGGGCATGTCAGGGAAACGGTCCCTCAGAGCACCAACCAGCATGCGGCTGGACTCAGGCTTCAGCAGCCCTGCCATGTCCTGCAGGAGGATAGAGGAGTCAACAACATGACACGACTCCTTTCTCTTTAGTTATTTATGCCCGAGTCACTGACGAAAGTATTTATAAATAGTGTAATATAAATAGAACATGTAATTGGTTGAGATAAACTACATCAGTGGGTTTGGTTCAGAGCCACCCTAAAGTACCTTGATGTTCAGTATATGTGTTCCAGCTCTGACCAGCTCATCAGCCAGCTTCAGGTAGTACTCCAGAGAGTACTTCTGCCTCATGGGGTCAGACACGTCTCCTGTGTAGGAGATGGAGGCCTCCACCACGCCCCCAGCAGCCCCAGCAGCCTCCATACCCAGCATCAGGTTGGGAAGGTAGTTCAGAGAGTCAAACACACGGAAGATATCCATGCCGTTCTCCTTGGCCACCTCACAGAACCTGGTCAGAACAATTGAAAAATGGATGAGTGCATGCTTCAAGTGAAGTGCCCTTGGGTTCAAGGGTGATGCTTTCAAGAAATACCATGCATGACCCTCAAACTGCGAGGGCTGAGGTGACGCTTTACGTGTTCTGGTTGGAATTAGGATTAAGGGGTGCATGACCAGGGCAGAGGTACTGACTTGAACACAGCGTTGTCGGGGTAGTTGGTGTAGCCCACAGCGTTGGCTCCTCTGAGCAGCATCTGGAAGGGCACGTTGGGCAGCAGAGCCCTCAGCTCCTGCAGCCGTTTCCATGGACACTCACACAGGAAACGCATCGCCACATCAAAGGTAGCACCTGCACAGAAGAGGAACAATCAATAACTGCCATAGCAACAGACTCCATTGATGATGGGGCGGCAGGTAGCTTAGTGGTTAAGAGCGTTGTGCCAGTAACCAAAAGGTCACTGGTTCTAATCCCCGAGCCGACTAGGTGAAAAATCTGTCGATGTGCCCTTGAGCAAGGCACTTAACCCTAATTGCTCCTGTAAGTCGCTCTGGATAAGAGTAAAATGTAAATGATAAAGTCCATAAACATCAGCATTTGGACTGCTTCTGTATCTACTAGACAGTATATGGACAGATTTCCTGAATAGACTATGAATCTCTCCTATTCATACAGAGAAGGAAGGACTTTCTCCCTAGTCTGATGTCCAGCTCCCTCAACATCAAAATGTTTTTGAACACTGTCACAGTAGATTCACTTTTCAGGGTGCTAAGGTGACCTCCTGTAGCTTATTTTGTAAAAAGAGTTACCCAAATAAAACATGTATTTTCATACGTCATTTTGCTACAGATGAGGCAGAGCCTTTCTTCAGTCTTTATTTAGAAACGTACCGTCAGTCTGCCCATATCAACTTCAACAGTGGGCCCTCCTTTTCCTCAGAGACATGAGGAGAGGAGAACCCACCCCTGAATAACCCAGATACAGTACAGTACACTAACTTGCTCTGCTCAATGATGTGAACCCGGCCCTGAGGCAGTGTCATATTTTAATTGACCCTAGCAGTTAATTCTATTTGACCTTTCAACTCAACTGTGATCTTTGAAAATATAACATTTATAATGAGGCCACTAAATCATAGGCAGGTGGCAGAATCGGCCAGAGCAAAGCAGAAAGCGCAGATTGAGAATGGAAAATGTGTGGTAATAGAAAATAGAGAATACATTTTTTTTTAAAAGAGTGCGAGCACTGGTGGTAAACAAAGATTTCCTCACCTCCCCAGTTCTCCACGCTGAAGAGGTTGTTAAAGTTGTGGGCCACGAAGGGGGCAATCTGTTTGAGGTCGTGGGTGCGGACGCGGGTGGCCAGGAGAGACTGGTGGGCATCTCTGAAGGTGGTGTCCATGAGCAGCAGACCCTTGTGGGCACGCACCGCCTTGGCAAAGCCCTCTGGACCCTCCTTCAACAGGACGTCACGGAACCCAACCGGAGGCTCACCTAATCCACATAAATACACACAGTTTTTACTATGTTGTACTGACTGGATTAAGACAAAATGGGCTGCTACAAAAAAATATGTTTCACAGAAAGCTGGTAGGAGGTTGTGATGTTTGGAGTCTTACCCAGAGGAATGGGTGGGATCACAGGATCGATAGATGAGGGCTTAGCCTTCACCGGTATGGGAGTAGTGGGTCCGTTTACCATCACATGACCTGAAACAGGACAGCAGGAGAGCATCAGAAAACCTGAGTTGGCCATTGTCGTAGGCATGTAAAACCTACCAATACATTATATTAGTGATGGGGAAAAAATCCAGAGTTAAATACCGCAATATTATTTTGGACGATATTACATTGAAACTTTGACTCCAAGTATCGATTTTCTTTGCTAGGTTGCATTAGCTGGCGCTAAATCAGCTATACCTGTGCCAAAACTCTGGTATTTTCCCATCCTATAGCTTGTTCTCCATCTTCTTTTTAAATAGTGAACTTTTAGCACTTTTATATCCGTGAATGATCAAAACTAATTTTCTCATGGCTCTCTCTTGTCCCTCTGCAGCAGACATATGGTGAGCAATATGTTTGGTATCAAATCGCATTACCGAATAGCATTCGCAATACATATTGTATCGTTCCCTAAGTATTGTGATGATATCGTATCGTGAGGTCCCTGGCAACTCACAGCGCTACATGATATGGGAGAAAAGCATACCATTACTCCAGATAGCATACAGTGCATTCGGAAAGTATTCAGACCCTTGACTTGGTCCAAAATTTGTTACGTTACAGCCTTATTCTAAAATGGATTAAATAGTATTTCCCCCCCTCAATCTACACACAATACCCCATAATGACAAAGCAAAAACAGGTTTTATGTTTTGCAAATGTATTAAAAATAGTATCACATTTACATAAGTATTCAGATCCTTTACTCAGTACTTTGTTGAAGCACCTTTAGCAGCGATTACAGCCTCGAGTCTTCTTGGGAATAACGCTACAAGCTTGGCACGCCTGTATTTGGGGTGTTTCTCCCATTCTTCTCTGCAGATCCTCTCAAGCTCTGTCAACTATTTTCAGGTCTCTCCAGAGATGTTCGATCGGGTTCAAGTCCGGGCTCTGGCTGGGCCACTCAAGGACATTGAGACTTGTCCCGAAGCCACTCCTGCATTGTCTTGGCTGTGTGCTTAGGGTCATTGTCCTGTTGGAAGGTGAACCTTCTCCCCAGTCTGAGGTCCTGAGCGCTCTGGAGCAGGTTTTCATCAAGGATCTCTGTACTTTGCTCCCTCGATCCTGATAGGGATGGTGCCAGGTTTCCTCCAGATGTGACGCTTGGCATTCATGCCAAAGAGTTCAATCTTGGTTTCATCAGACCAGAGAACCTTGTTTCTCATGGTCTGAGAGTCCTTTAGATGCCTTTTGGCAAACGCCAAGCAGGCTGTCATGTGCCTTTTACTGAGGAGTGGCTTCCGTCTGGCCACTACCATACAGGCCTGATTGGTGGAGTGCTGCAGAGATGGTTGTCCTTCTGGAAGGTTCTCCCATCTCCACAGAGGAACTCTGGCGCTCTGTCAGAGAGTGACCATCGGGTTCTTGGTCACCTCCCTGACCAAGGCCCTTCTCCCCCCGATTGCTCAGTTTGGCCAGGCGGTGGCTCCAAACTTCTTCCATTTAAGAATGATGGAGGCCACTGTGTTCCTGGGGACCTTCAATGCTGCAGAAATGTTTTGGTACCCTTCCCCAGATCTGTGCCTCGACACAATCCTGTCTCGGAGCTCTACGGACAATTCTTTCGACCTCATGACTTGGTTTCTGCTCTGACATGCACTGTCAACTGTGGGACCTTATATGGACAGGTGTGTGCCTTTCCAAATCATGTCCAATTAATTGAATTTACCACAGGTGGACTCCAATCAAGTTGTAGAAACATCAAGGATGATCAATGGAAACAGGACGCACCTGAGCTCAATTCGAGTCTCATAGCAAAGGGTCTGAATACTTATGTAAATAAGGTATTTGTTTATTTTTAATAAATAAGCAAAAAAATTTAAAAACCTGTTCTCGCTTTGTCATTTTGGGGTATTGTGTGTAGATCGATGGGATTTGTATTTATTTAATTCATTTTAGAATAAGGCTGTTTCGTAACAAAATGTGGAAAAAGGGAAGGGGTCTGAATACTTTCCGAATGCACTGGTAAATAATTATTCATAGCAAAGGTGTCATTTGTTTGAACGGATGTTGTCAGAGTGTTCAGTGGAGTCAAGGACGTGATGTACAATACAATAGACTCCATGGGTAGGCGATGCTTGAACAAACGGTTGTGCCCTAAAAAGGCTTTAATTCCAGCCAGGTATGAATTCAACTAACTATCTCACATCTTGATCTAGGGAGGGAAGCTTCAATTTTTTAACGAATCAAGACCATCATTAGCTACACGTCAGATGACTGAGTAAGTGGTGTCTAAAGTTGAAATATAATAAACTATACCAGGACTGCCCAACCCTGTTCCTGGAGAGCTATAGTCCTGTAGGTTTTTGCTCCAACCCTAATCTAGCACACCTGATTCTAATAATTAGCAGGTTGATAAGATGAAATCAGGTTAGTAACACCTGGGGTTGGAGCAAAAACCTACAGGAGGGTAGCTCTCCAGGAACAGGGTTGGGCAACCCTGAGCTATACCAACATAAAGAGACAAAGAATTCCTAAATAAATTATTTTAAATTGTGAATTGAAGACATCATTTTACCCAGGTAGTGCAGCAGCTTCTGGGCTCGGTTCTGGACCGGCTTGAGATTGAAGAGTTCCTGGTTCTCATCTATGAACTGGGTGTCAACGGTGCCGTACAGGAATTGATCGTTACTCAGAACGTTCTGGAGGAAGGGGATGTTGGTCTGTGCAGGAAAAAAGAAGACGGGGAGAGAAATAGAAAAAGCAAGAGATTGCTGTTACCATGACAAAATGGTAGAGAAGACAGTCTGCATGATACATAACACTAGGGACCAAGATATAGGGCAAAGTGCCTGGACATGCAAACGCACAGCTCAAGTGCAAATGGTCTTGGAGGGCTGGGTCATTTTGTGGTCAGTCCCGAATCAAAATGGCTTAGAACACTCAATACCGCCACACTGAGTCCCTTCCTCTGTGAGCACTATCAGGCCAAAACACACAGTGCAGAAAACACAGTGTGATCACTAAGCAAAACAATCCCAGAATCCCAGCTAATCCTCAACATATGCCCTGCATGTTCCTCTGTGCCCTGCTACACATCTGTCTCAGCCAGGTGCCCTGGGGTACACACACACAGAGAGAGAGAGAAGCAGGAAGCCAGAGCCAGCAAGAGTGAGACGAAATGAGAGACACAGAGAGAGAGAATAAATGAGAGAGAGACAGAGAGAAGAAATGCGAGAGCGAGTAAGATAATAGAAATGAGAAGGATAGTAGCTATAGGCTACTGCTCCAGTCCTTAGTCCATTCTACCATACACTTCAAAACAGCAGCAAATAGCCTAGTAAGCCTACACAGCACCAGAGCTCTGACCCAGATTCCTCTACATGTAGACCTAATTACAGGTCTTACAACAGAACCAACCCTCCCCAAAAGACTAAAGCAAACTAAGAACATTACAGAGGAAGTTAATAACGTATGTGCAAGTCTGCATTGGCAATATTAATTCACAAACTAAATAAGATTAGTTTATTTTCTGAGAAGAGACAAATTTGTTCATAAAAGTTGCATCATTGTCAGTATGACGTTATGATTACAGTATGGTGCAATTCATTCATTTGGTACTGAATGTCGATAGAAATAAAACGTACAAAACAGATGGTTCTTGTTCTCTAGTTATATAAGAATGGAGGATGTAGCTTGTGCCCTGACACTCCTTGCTCTGTACTTACCATTTTATGAGTCTTGCTGTTACGAACTTTCTGGGAAACCATCAAAATCACAGCTAACTAAGCTAGTTTTTTTTAACACTACGTTTTCATAATGACTGCATCAAGTGGGCGGGAAAGAGGGGGGGGGGACACAAGGCCTCTTCTTTGGACCGGGTGATCAATTATGCATCCATGACACCACTTCCAAATTAGCCATTCATGATTAAGAGAAAAGGCACAAAAAGCCAGGGTTGTTTGCTTCCAAATATTGAACAATTTGTCAACTGGCAAGAGTTCTGACAGTGCTGTCAAGATGGCCAGCCCCAGCGGGTTTATACTGCTCTCTGACAGTACTGTGCTGTAAGGCTCAGAGTGCTGCTGTCCTTGGTCCTGAAGAGATCCTCTCTGCCATTGGCCGCGCATCCTCCATTGTCCAGACTCTGAATAGCTATGGATTGAATCAAATTCAATTTCCCCCTGCAGCTTCCCCAGGTAAATCATTTCTCAAATTTCCTGCAGATAGATTAACCCATTTTCCATCTAAATTATACATAATAGTCAAAATGAGGGTTAGGCCCATGTGGTGAAAGATAAGAAACGCCTGAGAAAATCACTAGGCTGAATAATCATTATGTATGTACACTATCATTCAAAAGTTTGGGGTCACTTAGAAATGTCCTTGTTTTCCATGAAGACATACATGAAATGAGTTTGAATAGAAAATATAGCAAAATGAATAGGAAATGTAGTCATTGACAAGGTTAGAAATAATGATTTTTTATTGAAATAATAATTGTGTCCTTAAAACTTTGCTTTCGTCAAAGAATCCTCCATTTGCAGCAATTACAGCCTTGCAGACCTTTGGCATTCTAGTTGTCAATTTGTTGAGGTAATCTGAAGAGATTTCAACCCATGCTTCCTGAAGCACCTCCCACAAGTTGGATTGGCTTGATGGGCACTTCTTACGTACCATACGGTCAAGCTGCTCCCACAACAGCTCAATAGGGTTGAGATCCGGTGACTGTGCTGGCCACTCCATTATAGACAGAATACCAGCTGACTGCTTCTTCCCTAAATAGTTCTTGCATAGTTTGGAGCTGTGCTTTGGGTCATTGTCCTGTTGTAGGAGGAAATTGGCTCCAATCAAGCGCCGTCCACAGGGTATGGCATGGCGTTGCAAAATGGAGTAATAGACTTCCTTCTTCAAGATCCCTTTGACCCTGTACAAATCTCCCACTTTACCACCACCAATGCACCCCCAGACCATCACATTGCCTCCACCATGCTTGACAGATGGCATCAAGCATTCCTCCAGCATCTTTTCATTTGATCTGCGTCTCACAAATGTTCTTCTTTGTGATCCGAACACCTCAAACTTCGATTTGTCTGTCCATAACACTTTTTTCCAATCTTCCTCTGTCCAGTGTCCGTGTTCTTTTGCCCATCTTAATCTATTTTTTGCAACTCTGCCTAGAAGGTCAGCATCCCGGAGTCGCCTCTTCACTGTTGACGTTGAGACTGGTGTTTTGCGGGTACTATTTAAATGAAGCTGCCAGTTGAGGACCTGTGAGGCGTCTGTTTCTCAAACTAGACACTCAAATGTATTTGTCCTCCGGGGCCTCCCACTTCTATTCTGGTTAGAGCCAGTTTGCGCTGTTCTGTGAAGGGAGTAGTACACAGCGTACTACTATTTCTCGCATGGAATAGCCTTCATTTCTCAGAACAAGAATAGACTGACGAGTTTCAGAAGAAAGTCATTTGTTTCTGGCCATTTTGAGCCTGTAATCGAACCCACAATTGCTGATGCTCCAAATACTCAACTAGTCTCAAGAAGGCCAGTTTTATTGCTTCTTTAAAATCAGCACAACCGTTTTCAGCTGTGCTAACATAATTGCAAAAGGGTTTTCTAATGATCAATTAGCCTTTCAAAAATGATAAACTTCGATTATCAAACACAACGTGCCATTGGAACACAGGACTGATGGTTGCTGATAATGGGCCTCTGTACGCCTATGTAGATATGCCATAAAAAAATCAGCCATTTCTAGCTACAATAGCCATTTACAACATTAACAATGTCTACACTGTATTTCTGATCAATTTGATGTTATTTTAATGGACAAACAAATTGCTTTTCTTTCGAAAACAAGGACATTTCTAAGTGACCCCAAACCTTGGAACGGTAGTGTACCTGTCAGGAGGGCAGCGTTACCTAGCTCTTATTGGTTGGACACATACAACAGTGTTCCTGTAGGGTGCGCATAACACTCCAGCATGGCTGTACTCAGTCCTCTAGAAAAAGCCCCAGTTTGTGTCTGGCTGAGGGTGAGTCACTCAGTCCTCCTCACCTAAAACACACACACACGGCTAGCCCAGATTAGAACAGAGACAAGAGGGATGTATGGAACCAGGGGGAGGACGAGGAGCTAACCCTCCCCTCCCTCCTTTGTCTCCTTCCCTCAAACTCCAGGGCAAAAAGCCACGCTGTCAGATTCAGCCATGGTGCTGGTGTTGACCTGTATTAACCTTCATCACTTCTGTTTGGGTTGAGAAACCTACTGTAGTTTCTCTCCTCATCTGTATTGATTCTCTCAGATTCTCTCTCACTCTCTACAGCCCCAGACCACAGCAGGGAAGACAAGAAAGCACTCCAATCAGACTTCTTTATTCACTCCAAAAACTGCTGAACAATAAGATACTCCTCACCACCGCGACCACACTTAACATTCAGGGTACATTGGGGACCATTGCGATCAACTTGTAGTAATCAAATGTTGAATAATTGATGAAAGGACTTTTAAACCGAAAATTGATGATTTAACAAAACAGGCCTCTTGATAGTAACCAACCAGGACTGTCTCTGCAATATCCCATTTCAGACACCTCAGCATAAAGCTACCTTATTAGACTCCAGTGTCTCCATAATGTTTCTCACTGGAGCAGTGGTCTACAGGCGATTGCAGACAGGAAAACACCAACTGATAACCAGCTGAATGTAGTCTGCTAAGGGCTTGTGTAAATAGAATGCTGACTGCTTTAATCCCAGCAGTAATGAAGCCGTCCCTTATTTTGGCCCAACTGTTTGGCTAATAAATGATAAAGCCGGGGGTGAGGCTGCTGGCTCTCCCTCCTCCAAAACCTCCTTTCTTCATTTTGACTCATTTCTCCTATGCTCATTTTCTGCATTTTCTCCTAGCTATTCCAATTCCATCTCTCCCATCTATGGAAAGCCAGGACTGCTTCAGGCTCTCCCTGCCCCCTCCCGTTCCATCTCACTCTTCCGTTCTCCCCTCTCAGTAGCACACACATTGCAGTCTCTCCCTCGCTCACACACACACACACGCTCGCTGCAGCAAGAGCCACAAATCAGACTGGTACAGCACAGGACGGCAGGGGAAAAGAACGATTGAGTTGTGAGTAAGCACGGTGACCACAGAGGTGAAACATGCGATCGTAATAGGTTGTTGACGTCTACGGTTAATAGCTTTCTACTTTAACAGCACTGTTCTTTTCCCTGGGCTTGTCTGGAGGACTACAACAAAAAAAGGTAGCATGACAGAAGGAACCAGGGAGTGAAAAGGGATTGTTACCCTTCCCACACAGTGGGGAAGCTGGGAGGAAAAAGGGGGTTTGAGAGGACGGGGTTGGACGTCAGATGGCTAAGGCTGCTCTCCAACAGAGATATGACACAGACTTAAGGATGTTCTAGAGCCGCATTGCTTCTGCAAAGGACAGATGCACCACGTGAGGAAAGAGGGGTCTGAATACCAATAACTGCAGAGTAAAGAGAAGAGACTGGATACTGTCCTGGGAGAAGACTGAAGGCTGCAATTAGTGAAAAGATGTAAGATAAACGATACGAAGCAGACTGAAATGTTTCACACATTTCAAATATTTTGTTCATATAGAAAACATAAGCTTGTCATCTCTGAAAACCTCGGGGCTCATGCTTGAAAAACTAAAAAAAAAATCGGATTATTTCGATTCATGCTCCAGTTACCAGAACGAATCAATGGATGTGACATCCTGAACAGCATAAGCAGCAAACTTCTGTAAGTATATATTCATTTATTTTCTTCACACTAGAATAGAACCCTGTGTTTATCTTAATAGAGCATCTAACTCGCAGTCTGTCCTGACTGTATTGCACACTGCTGAGGAAATGTGATTATCTGTGCCCATGTCACTCTGCTAATCCTTGCTCTCTTCATATTCTGGAGGATGTATACAATGGACTGACTTAGCAACAGTTCTGAGTGAATCCCAGAGAACAAGGATATTAACAACAGGAATGACTGAGTAAAATATAAATGACAAACTGACAAGCAACAAATTGCTCATACGCTTGTTGATTTGGGGGATGAGCTCAAGTCAAAGTAAATATGGATAGGTGGACTAAGAGGGATGGTGATGCAACAACATGGAAAAGGTGTACTAGGTCTTTCCTCTGTGCGTTTAGCCATTGATCATAAAGCACTGAAGAGAGGGAAACATATCGAAGCCAAGAGGATAACTAGGGATAAGAGCAGATTTAAAATACTAGCAGCTATAGCAAGCAGATTGTTTTTATTTAAAACACTGCCATGTACAGTGCCTTCAGAAAGTATTCATACCCCTTTACTTATTCCACATTTTGTTGTTACAGGCTACATTCAAAATTGATTAAATAGAAATGTCTATTACATAAGTATTCACATCCCTGAGTCAATACATGTTAGAATCACCTTTTGCAGCGATTACAGCTTTGAGTCTTTCTGGGTAAGTCTAAGAGCTTTGCACACCTGGATTGTACAATATTTGCACATTATTCTATTTAGAATTCTTCAAGCTCTGTCAAGTTGGTTGTTGATCATTGCTAGACAGCCATTTTCAAGTCTTGCCATAGATTTAAGACGATTTAAGTCAACACTAACTAGGCCACTCAGGAAAAATCAATGTCTTCTTGGTAAGCAAATCCAGTATATATTTTGGGCCTTGTGTTTTAGGTTATTGTCCTGCTGAAAGGTGAATTTGTCTCCCAGTGTGTTGGAAAGCAGATAGCCAGGTTTTCCTCTAGGATTTTGCCTGTGCTTAGCTCTATTCCGTTTATTTTTATCCTAAAAACTCCCTAGTCCTTGCTGATGACAAGCATACCCATAACATGATAGAGCCACCACCATGCTTGAAAATATGGAGTGGTACTCAGTGATGTGTTGTGTTGGATTTGCCCCAAACATAATGCTTTGTATTCAGGACATAAAGTTCATTTCTTAGCCAAATTATTTTGCAGTTTTACTTTAGTGCCTTATTGCAAACAGGATGCATGTTTTGGAATGTTTTTATTCTGTACAGGCTTCCTTTTCACCCTGTTATTTAGGTTAGTATTGTGGACTAACAAGGTTGTTGATCCATCCTCAGTTTTCTCCTATCACAGCCATTAAACTGTTTTAAAATCACCATTCGCCTCATGGTGAAATCCCTGAGCGGTTTCCTTCCTCTCCGTCAACTGGGAGAGGAAGGTGCCCTTCTTTGTAAGGCACTGGAAAACCTCCCTGGTCTTTGTGGTTGACTATCAGCTTTTCATTTTTAAGTAAACATTTCTAAAAACACAACTCCACTTTGACATTATGGGGTATTGTGTGTATGCCAGTGACACCAGATCTACATTTAATCAATTTTAAATGCAGGCTATAAAAACAAAATTTGGAAAAAGGCCAGGGGTGTGAATACTTTCTCAAGGCACTGTAGATGAGGGCCTGGGGGTTCTGTTTGGGAGAACAGGGTATTCACACACTAAGGTAGGAACCATTACTGTGCAGTCCTCAGTCACTGTGACTATGAACTAAGGGGGATGCACAATCCATTCAAACCCTGTTAGATATGGGATAGAATGTCAAGCTTAGAATCTAACCCTGTTACCATGCCTCCCTCTTCCCTCCCTCCCTCCCACTCAGACATACAGGTCCAAAGGTTAACCCCATACACAGACTTCTGATAATGCAGTGAAGAGCCTCTTATCATAGCATAAAACATTACAGTGACCACACACACCAAACCCACCACAACATTTCTTGTAGGTGTCTATGTGTACCATTGCACAGCGTATGCACAGAGACAAACACAGTTTATACTATTACACAGTTATTTATAGGTTGTATCCATCATTCCCCTGGTGGGTCCTTCATCTCCCCCTCTCATTCTCCCCCACACACACACTCAAACAGTGCTTTGTGAGCGTGACAGCAGAAGAAGCTTGCCTTTCATAATGCTCAAACGAGCACAAATGTAATATTCTCAACCCAGTGAAACGCAGCAGCCGTGGAAAAGCACAACAAAGTCACATTAATCAGGCCTGTAATGTAACTCAGATAATTCAACTAGCCTTCCATTCAAAGTCCATTTGCACAGAATGACCTGGAGACTCAGTCACCCTACAAACCACTATTCTGCTTCATTAAGGACCTGCCTTTGGTAGTCTGGCTTTTAACCCAATGTCATTCCTTCTCATTAGATGGAACATGTGTGTCAATGTTCATGTTCAACACACACACACACAGTAATGCATCAGGTTAATGGGGCAATCACAGTGACAGAACAGTGGGCAGTGGAAGGTGAGAACAAGAAGGCCCCAGTAACAGTGGAACTCAGTAGTCATGGCTACAACCCCAGAACCAGTGGAACTCAGTAGTCATGGCTACAACCCCAGAACCAGTAACAGTGGAACTCCGTAGTCATGGCCACAACCCCAGAACCAGTAACAGTGGAACTCAGTAGTCATGGCCACAACCCCAGAACCAGTAACAGTGGAACTCCGTAGTCATGGCCACAACCCCAGAACCAGTAACAGTGGAACTCAGTAGTCATGGCCACAACCCCAGAACCAGTAACAGTGGAACTCCGTAGTCATGGCTACAACCCCAGAACCAGTAACAGTGGAACTCAGTAGTCATGGCCACAACCCCAGAACCAGTAACAGTGGAACTCAGTAGTCATGGCCACAACCCCAGAACCAGTAACAGTGGAACTCAGTAGTCATGGCCACAACCCCAGAACCAGTAACAGTGGAACTCAGTAGTCATGGCCACAACCCCAGAACCAGTAACAGTGGAAACTCAGTAGTCATGGCCACAACCCCAGAACCAGTAACAGTGGAACTCAGTAGTCATGGCCACAACCCCAGAACCAGTATCAGTGAACAGTCTGAGGAAAACCACCAGGCTTGGAGGTTTATATCAAATCTAGCCTCACTCATATCTCACTGAAATTACACACATAGGCCTACACAAACAGAAACCACATCACAGTTTACAAAATCTGTATTGACCAACATGTTTGTGGAATTGTCAATATCTAAAACTTCAAATACCAATTGTACAATCCAATACCTCTACTGCACTGATGTAAAAGCCACTGAATGGGAAAACCAATGGAAATGAAGGATCTAACGATTTCCCACTTGTCCTTCCGTAGGTCTGTGGATAACCAGCTCAACAATGCCTAAATCCAAATCACAAATATCACACTCATACTCGGCTCCACACCACTCAAAATCCTCTCGGAGGCCCTTTCCAAAGCAACACTCTCTAAAAGGTGTCCACCCGGAAATAACCCCTGTTATCTCCTACTGAACTCAAGCCAAAGGTCACCAGCCCTTCCCTGAGACCCCCTGCCTGCCCTCTGACCCCACAGACTGTAGTCTGGTTGGCCGTGGTGATCTGCTCCTGTGTGTTCTCTGCTCTGTTGGGCCCGGGCGTGTCCGCTGGAGAGACCTGGGGCATGGTCTCCATCTGTCCCTTCCACTGTGTGTGCCGAAACCTCTCAGAGTCTCTGAGCACGCTCTGTGTCAACAAGGGCCTGCTGTTCGTACCTCCCGACATTGACCGGCGCACCGTGGAGCTCCGTCTGGCTGACAACTTCATCCTGGAGGTGGGAAGGGTGGACTTTGCCAACATGTCAGGCCTGGTAGAGCTAACTCTGTCCAGGAACACCATCCATGCCCTGAAACCTCTGGCCTTCGCTGACCTTGAGAGCCTGCGCTCACTCCACCTGGACACCAACCGGCTGACAGTGGTGGGGCCAAAAGACCTGTCCGGCCTGACCAACCTGCAGCACCTCATCATCAACAACAACCAGCTGACCGACGTCTCCACCGAGGCCTTTGATGACTTCCTGCAGACGCTAGAGGATCTGGACCTGTCCTACAACAACCTGAGGAAGGTCCCCTGGGATGCCATCCAGAACATGGCCAGCCTGCACACCCTCAACCTGGACCACAACCTCATAGACCACATCGCAGAGGGCTCCTTCGGAGAACTCTACAAGCTGGCCCGTCTGGACATGACGTCCAACCGGCTGCAGACTCTGCCCCCCGACCCCCTGTTCACCCGCTCCCAGACGGGCGTGGTCAGCCCCACCCCCTATAACGCTGTCATCAGCCTGAGCTTCGGGGGGAACCCCCTGCACTGTAACTGTGAGCTGCTGTGGCTGAGGCGGCTGATCCGCGAGGACGACATGGAGACGTGTGCCACTCCCGTCCACCTGGCCGGGCGCTACTTCTGGTCCATCCCAGAAGAGGAGTTCACCTGTGAGCCTCCGCTCATCATGCGCCACTCCAACAAGCTGTGGGTGCTGGAGGGCCAGAGGGCCACACTGAGGTGCCGTGCCATCGGAGACCCAGAGCCAATCATCCACTGGATCTCCCCAGACGACCGCATCGTGGCCAACTCCAGCCGTGTGCACTCCTACTACAACGGCACCCTGGACGTGCTGGTGACCCGTGCCCGTGACGATGGGGCCTACACCTGCATCGCCATCAATGCTGCCGGGGAGGCTACGGCCCTGATAGACCTGAAGATCATCCCCCTCCCTCACCGCGGCAACAACACCGTCCCCCTAACCAGCCCTCGAGGGGATCCCGGGTCCTCAGACATCTCCAGTGGGAGAAGAGGAGGGGCAGGCTGGAACAGGAAGGGTGGTGGAGGGGTGGTGACCGTCAAGAACACCACAGAGGGGGAGAGTGGAGAGAGGGGGGATGGAGATGCCAGTGCCAGTGAGCATTTGATGGGGGTCATGGGGGTGACTGCCACCTCTGCCCAGGTGCGCTGGGTCCTGGGCCAGGCCACTGGGCCATACCTGGTGTGGATGTACCAGATCCAGTACAACTGCACTGCAGACGATGCCCTGGTGTACAGGTAAGCTCCCCTCAGCGACACAGCCATGCTACAGAACCTGAGAGCCAGTTCCAACTGGGTAAGCATGAATCGATCAGGAGGCTAGATGCAAAACAAACACCTCTGTGTGGTCTATTGTAATACTGTCATGTACAAAACACCCCAGTGGTTTTACAATTGATCTGAGTTATCACAGAGTGTCCTTGAATGACAAGGACCAGGAGTGATGAACATGAACACTGACACATGAATTAAAGGAGAGCAGGCGTAGTGGACTGTAAAGTATGAACAAGGGATTTATAGAGGGATAGGAAGGAGATGGGAAGGGAGATGGGGCAATGGAAGGAGAGCGAGAGAGAGAGCGAGCGAGCGAGCGAGAGAGAGAGAGAAGACTGTGGGAAAAGGAGGATGAAGTCCTTATAAAAGAGTGCAAGCTGCAGATCTGAGGACAGTGTCACATCCCATCAGTCTGACAAATGGAGATGAATAGGGAGATTGTGGGTTTGGGTCTAGGGAACACTGAACCCAGGTAGGGAGAGGTACCTAAATAGACATGCAGTGTTTTATATCAAATACTGAACGATTCTCAAGGACTTGTCAGGACATTGTCGACAAAACACACTAATGCGTGCGCGCACACACACAGCTGTCAGAATGAAAAACGGGAAGAAAGCCTCCCAATTCGCCATTTCCATCTCTCATCCCCCACTAAGTCAGGAAGTGATGGTTAGTCTCATACGCTAAACATTTGATGCCTCATAATATCCCATAATTCCCTGATGTCCCAATCAGGACAGGTGAACTGCTTGTTAAGCCTTCCAAGAGAAAATAATAAGTATGCAAATACACACATTTGGATGACTAATATATGCCAAGGTATATGTAGTCTTCATTGCTAAATAAGATGGATGACGGCAAACATTAATTTGTACCGTCCCTGGGACTCCATCGCTCATTTGTTTAAACAGCATATCCCTTTGACAGGTTTTCAATAGAGCTTACAATTCATTTATTCACCTAATATAAGCCTATGGAGATAATAGCTCGCACATTCTGAGTTAATGTTCCGCGTAAAGCCCATCTTTCCAATTTTCATTACAAATCCTGCATGTAAACAACAAAATGTATTAACAAAGTAATTTGTAACCCAAAGCTAGAGATCATTTGAGGATAGTGTGGAGGAATGAGGGAGAGCAAGGGCACCAGAAAGGGTAACTGCCCGCCAGATGAGATTAGAAATTACTCAAGGTCTGCCTTGGAGAGCTCGCAATTACCTCTCAATGGTAAATGCATTCATCACCCGTATTTATATGCTGTCCAATAAATTTTCATTACTGTTCTACACTTATATACACAGCCGTCTGAATCCATCCGACAAGCTGCAGCATTTAGGAAGAGATTTTCTGACAAGAGCAGTCGGTTGGAAGACCGGGAGGGGTGAAAGACTTTAAAAACGCCAGAGTGTTTGCCATCTCGTCCTTCCTGGCATACAGTGTTTGGCCTGGGGTAGTGGTAATTGGGATGCGAGTATGTGTCACTGCCTCAGAGTTGTCTTGAATAGCTCATCGCTTGGCATGACACGTTTCAGAGGAGATGAAAAAACCTTCGTAAACAGACTCTGGTCTAGTCCGCCTCCCGTTTTCCTGAATATCAATCTCAGCCTCTATTGGCCTTCTCCCTCTACAGCAGAGTATTATTGATTAAGCCCATTTCCACAACAAAGGAGCAGATCTGACGCTGCCTCCTTCCTCTAGCTGGATGCTCATTATCATCATTAGCGTTTAGGAGTTGTACTGTAGCTTATTGCATTTCATTAGATTTATCTCCCTCTCCTAGCTGCTCTCAGAGATTATCTTTCTCATCTCAGCAAATGACTCAATATCCTTTTTTTCCCCCATTACTCCTCAACCCCCCCCCCCCCCCCATTAGGATTCTGCCTCCTACAAGCAACTCTTTCCTGCTAAAGAACCTTGTGTCTGGAGCAGACTACAGCCTGTGTGTCCTGGCCATCTTTGACGACGGGTTGTCCACCCTGGCCACCACCAAGGTCCTGGGCTGCACCCAGTTCAGCACCAAGGAGGACTTCCCAGAGTGCCGCTCCCTGCAGGCGCATTTCCTGGGCGGCACCTTGACAATCATGGTGGGCGGGGTCATCGTGGTGACGCTGCTGGTGTTCACCGTGGCGATGATGGTGAGGCACCGCGTCTGTGGAGACTGCCAAGACGAAGGCCACTACCCTGCCCATCACCATGACGACTTCCTGCCCTCTAAGGGAGAAGTGGACGTTTACGCTCAGACCAATGGGAACGGGAGAGTGATGATGGTGGCGCTGCCCAAAGGCATTCTTGGCCAACATGCTAAGCCCCTGCCATCGAAAACCAAACCCCAAGCCAAGAACAAGCCCAGGACACCGTCAAAGTCAACGCTTGACTCTGATCAGCTCAGTGGAGAGAGAAAGGCTGAGAAGCAGGGTCTGGAGGTGGGCATGAAGGGGAAAAGATTCCCCCCTTTCACCCCTGAGAGTGAGAGAGTGACACTGTACTACTCCCCTGCCAACACCTCCCAAACCTTACCCCATCCCAGAGCTCACAAGACCCTGAGACACTCAGGCAAGCTCAAGCTGCGCCGCTCTGAGGAGAGGGAGAGTGACTTGGACAAAATGGTGGGCTCCAGATGCAGCCTGGACTCTGGGGCCCAAGGGGAGGAGGAGGGGCGGGTGAAGGACTGGAGGAGGGGCGATCGTCCGCCACTCGGGAGGACACGCAGCTGCTCCTTTGACGTGGGCGAGATCACCACGACAACCTGCTACAGCTATGCCAAGCGACTGAGTGTGATATGGAGCAGGAGGAGCCAGTCGGTGCACGGCATGCTGGTCCAATGCGCCTCAACGGCCAGTTCAGCGAGCAGCATGGGCAGCGATCACAACCCCCCTGCCCTCACACATGGCTACCTGCACGCCTTCAACACCTCCAACTCCAATTCCAATGTGGCTGCCAAAGATCTGGAGGAGTGTGTTGTGTAGGGTGGAGAGGAGAGGGAGGAGTGTGTTGTGTAGGGTGGAGAGGAGGAGAGGAGGAGTGTGTTGTGTAGGGTGGAGAGGAGGAGTGTGTTGTGTAGGGTGGAGAGGAGGAGAGGAGGAGAGTGTTGTGTAGGGTGGAGAGGAGAGGAGGAGTGTGTTGTGTAGGGTGGAGAGGAGGAGAGTGTTGGTAGGGTTGGAGAGGAGGAGTGTTGTTGTAGGGTGGAGAGGAGAGGAGGAGTGTGTTGTTAGGGTGGAGATGAGAGGAGGAGGCAGATGTTGTGTAGGGTGGAGAGGAGAGGAGTGTTGTGTAGGGTGGAGAGAGAGAGGAGGAGGAGAGGGTTGTGTAGGGGAGGAGAGAGGAGAGTTGTGTGTGTAGGGTGGAGAGGAGAGGAGGAGAGTGTTGTGTAGGGTGGAGAGGAGAGGAGGAGAGTGTTGTGTAGGGTGGAGAGGAGAGGAGGAGAGTGTTGTGTAGGGTGGAGAGGAGAGGAGGAGAGTGTTGTGTAGGGTGGAGGGAGGGAGAGAGTGTTGTGTAGAGAAGAGGAGAGTGTTGTGTAGGGTGGAGAGAGAGAGGAGGTGTTTGTTGGTGAGAGGAGAGGGGAGATGTTGTGTAGGGTGGGAGGAGAGGAGGAGAGTGTTGTGTAGGGTGGAGAGGAGGGAGGGAGTGTTTGTAGGGTGGGAGGGAGGCGAGAGTGTTGTAGGGTGGAGAGGAGGGAGGAGAGTGTTGTGTAGGGTGGAGGAGGGAGGAGAGAGGGTTGTGGTAGGGTGGAGGAAGGGAGAGTTGTGTAGGGTGGAGAGGAGAGGAGGAGAGTGTTGTGTAGGGTGGAGAGGAGGAGAGGAGAGAGGGACAAAATGGAAACAAAGACTGAAACTGACAAAATGGTGGATGTAAAAGATTATACAAGCCATTTGGCTTTAAAGCTAGAATCCTTAACTGAAACAAAGCGTTCTCCCTGCCCGTTTTAGCCAAAAAGCTAAGGGATGGGCCTGGATAAATGTAACCACTCATTTATATAGACAGAGGTACGGATGCAAGGACTGACAATATCAAATGTATAGTTTTAACTATGTTTTAAGGCTATACAGTGTTTGCTTACATTTACTTTATTTACAAACATTGGAGTAAAACAAGCTTATATTTTGGGTTCTGAAGGGGTATGACAGTTGAACTAAGCTCATTAGGAATTTAAGTTATATTCTGCAAGAATATAAGTCCGAAATGGATGTAGCAACCAAGGATTCTAGTTTTTTTCAAAGACAAGGACTTAAAATATAAAAGCACAAAGTGCATTGCACAAGGAACCTAGCACATGCTGAAGAAGATAAGCCATGTATGGTGTGGACAGATGGGAGTGATGACAACTATACAAAATAAATGTAAAAAAAAGGTACAACGAAGTCTGCTTTAATGCTGTAAGAGACTGACTACAACCTGAGACTTGTTTCAACAAGATAAATGAAACAATTAATGAATTACGGTAAATAAATAAACCGTTACTCAACAGCAGCACGACTCGACATTGAATGCCAAACCGCTGAGTAGATCAGGCATCAAAATGGTTCATATGAAAACTGTGATAATCAGATGCCAGTCAGTGATCATGTGTTTGTTTGAGAAGACCAGGAAGCAGCCTATCGGCAAACACAGAGGTGTTTGTCTTCGAGCTGAGAGAGGGAGAGAGATATGGGGAGAAAGAGGGGTAGAGAAGGTGGCTGGGGGAGGAGATGGATGAGTCAGGGAGGAGCTCTGAGAATGCAGTACACAGGGAAAGGCTACATGTCTATTGGTGCCATTTGTCATATGAACTACTTCTCTGTAGTGTATAGTCTACTTCTCTGTAGTGTATAGTCTACTTCTCTGTAGTGTATAGTCTACTTCTCTGTAGTGTATAGTCTACTTCTCTGTAGTGTATAGTCTACTTCTCTGTAGTGTATAGTCTACTTCTCTGTAGTGTATAGTCTACTTCTCTGTAGTGTATAGTCTACTTCTCTGTAGTGTATAGTCTACTTCTCTGTAGTGTATAGTCTACTTCTCTGTAGTGTATAGTCTACTTCTCTGTAGTGTATAGTCTACTTCTCTGTAGTGTATAGTCTACTTCTCTGTAGTGTATAGTCTACTTCTCTGTAGTGTATAGTCTACTTCTCTGTAGTGTATAGTCATACCCACAAAGCCCCTCTGAGCTCACTTAGCATGAGCTGTGTGATGGAGGCCGATCCACACATCAAATCAAATGTTATTTGTCACATACACGTGTTTAGCAGATGTTATTGCTGGTGTAGCGAAATGCTTGTGCCTCTAGCTCCGACAGTGCAGTAATATCTAACAATTTCACAACATATACAGTGAGGGAAAAAAGTATTTGATCCCCTGCTGATTTTGTACATTTGCCCACTGACAAAGAAATGATCAGTCTATAATTTTAATGGTAGGTTTATTTGAACAGTGAGAGACAGAATAACAACAAAAAAATCCAGAAAAACGCATGTCAAAAATTGTATAAATTGATTTGCATTTTAATGAGGGAAATAACTATTTGACCCCCTCTCAATCAGAAAGATTTCTGGCTCCCAGGTGTCTTTTATACAGGTAACGAGCTGAGATTAGGAGCACACTCTTAAAGGGAGTGCTCCTAATCTCAGTTTATTACCTGTATAAAAGACACCTGTCCACAGAAGCAATCAAATCAATCAGATTCCAAACTCTCCACCATGGCCAAGACCAAAGAGCTCTCCAAGGATGTCAGGGACAAGATTGTAGACCTACACAAGGCTGGAATGGGCTACAAGACCATCGCCAAGCAGCTTGGTGAGAAGGTGACAACAGTTGGTGTGATTATTCACTAATGGAAGAAACACAAAAGAACTGTCAATCTCCCTCGGCCTGGGGCTCCATGCAAGATATTACCTCGTGGAGTTGCAATGATCATGAGAACGGTGAGGAATCAGCCCAGAACTACACGGGAGGATCTTGTCAATGATCTCAAGGCAGCTGGGACCATAGTCACCAAAAAACAATTGGTAACACACTACGCCGTGAAGGACTGAAATCCTGCAGCGCCCGCAAGGTCCCCCTGCTCAAGAAAGCACAGATACAGGCCCGTCTGAAGTTTGCCAATGAACATCTGAATGATTCAGAGGAGAACTGGGTGAAAGTGTTGTGGTCAGATGAGACCAAAATCGAGCTCTTTGGCATCAACTCAACTCGCCGTGTTTGGAGGAGGAAGAATGCTGCCTATGACCCCAAGAACACCATCCCCACCGTCAAACATGGAGGTGGAAACATTATGCTTTGGGGGTGTTTTTCTGCTAAGGGGACAGGACAACTTCACCGCATCAAAGGGACGATGGACGGGGCCATGTACTTTCAAATCTTGGGTGAGAACCTCCTTCCCACAGCCAGGGCATTGAAAATGGGTCGTGGATGGGTATTCCAGCATGACAATGACCCAAAACACACGGCCAAGGCAACAAAGGAGTGGCTCAAGAAGCAGCACATTAAGGTCCTGGAGTGGCCTAGCCAGTCTCTAGACCTTAATCCCATAGAAAATCTGTGGAGGGAGCTGAAGGTTTGAGTTGCCAAACGTCAGCCTCGAAACCTTAATGACTTGGAGAAGATCTGCAAAGAGGAGTGGAACAAAATCCCTCCTGAGATGTGTGCAAACCTGGTGGTCAACTACAAGAAACGTCTGACCTCTGTGATTGCCAACAAGGGTTTTGCCACCAAGTACTAAGTCATGTTTTGCAGAGGGGTCAAATACTTATTTCCCTCATTAAAATGCAAATCAATTCATAACATTTTTGACATGCGTTTTTCTGGATTTTTTTGTTGTTATTCTGTCTCTCACTGTTCAAATAAACCTACCATTAAAATTATAGACTGATCATGTCTTTGTCAGTGGGCAAACGTACAAAATCAGCAGGGGATCAAATACTTTTTTCCTTCACTGTACCTAATACACACAATTTTTTTTTTTTTTTTACATTTTAGTCATTTAGCAGACGCGCTTATCCAGAGCGACTTACAGTTAGTGCATACATTTTCATACAAATCTAAGTAAGGAATTCACACAAAAGGGAGACAAGGAGAGAGTGGATAGTGAGAGTAGTGCATGCAGCAGTTTCCCCTTTTCTTGCCAGAGGCAAACTGGTGCCCTATTTCACCCAATTAAAAACTGCTGATTGGTGAATTCACACAAACACATCGTGAACTCTGTCCACCGGTGCTCAAACCACTGACCTGCAGTTCTGCAACCAACCACTGTTCACATTGTAGAGCACATATGTCATGTTCTGCTGATAAGTCCTATTAATATCAGATCTGCAGATCTGGTAGGCTGTGGATAAAATTGTGCAGTTTAGACCAGGAGTTCACCATCTCAGAAATAGCTCTGACATCTCCAATTTGCTGGATAAGAAATAAAAATGGTTCAGAGTCCTTTTAGCCAGTCCTGATTTCATTTAGCCTCATACCATCCAACTCATTCACCATGGTTGGCTGTTCTCTGCCCCTGCATCTAAAACCCTACCCTAGCTGTGAGACGGCCAGAAGGAATAAGTGAGTGCTTTGACCTTTTCACCTCAGATGTAGAGCCAAGGTTTTCCTATTCACGACTGGAGATTTGAACAGAAAAACAGGGTGACTTAACCGGACAAAACATCTTGGACAAGCATTCTAACCCACCCATTTGAATTTAAAATCACCAATCTCTACTCCCCGTTCCACTGAAGCACCTCTACCCCAACCACACCCTATGATCAGCAGAAAGGAGTGTGTGGGTGGTTGTGTTGCTAGAGAAAGTGGATAAGACTGACACTCAATCCACATAAAACGACCAACATTAATCAAAATTCTTAAAAGGGCACTTTCGTCCACTACCATCAGTCGTCTATATTTTAAAAAGTGAAATGACAATTTCTACAATATATAAACAGAATTCTGACAGTATTCTGGTCGTTTTGTGGTTTGTTTCATGTTCCTTGAGGGAAGTATTTCCTTCCCTTGAAGC